TCCAAAGTGGTTGCCTCAAATTACAATCCTACCAGGAATATATGAGGGCTCCGATTTCTCCAAATCCTCATGAATACTTGTTTTTGTCTATCTTTTTTATTTGAGCTGTCCTAGTGGGTGTAAAGTGGTATCTCACTGTGGTTTGTTTGCTTTTTAAAAATGTTTTATTTATTTATTTATAACAATGTTTTATTTTTATTTATGTATTTATTTTGTTTATGGAGAAAGAGAAACATCAATGTGTGGTTGCCTCTCAAGCGCCCCTGCACTGGGGACATGGCCCAAAACCCAGGTGTGTGCCCTGACTGAAAATTGAACTGAAGACCCTTTGGTTCATGGTCTGGCACTCAGTCCACTGAGTCACACCAACTAGGGCTCTCACTATGGTTTTGATTTGCATTTTCCTGATGACTACTGACATCCAGTATTTTTGCACGTGCTCATTGGCCATTTATATATCTTCATTGGGAAAATATCTATTGAGATCTTTTGCCTATTTTTGAAATTGGGTTATTTGTCTTTTTATTAGTGATCAGTATCTCTAGAATGCAATTTCTAACTTGTACATTCGGTACCCATTCCTGTGATTTCAGAATCATAGAATTTTTAGTCGGGAAGGGACAGTAGGAATTTAAGTCCAGCCCCTTCTGTTGGCAAATGAATCTGAGGCTTACCATGACATGCCCATGGTCACAACAGAGCTGTTTAGCAGCAGACCTGGGGAGATTAATTACTAAATAAAAAATGGAAGCATGAACATTTCATGATTTGTATTTGCATAAGGCCCCTTTCAATATAGCAGAGGTAGAATCTGGATGAAATGGAGCTTCAAATCTGGATGAAATAGGTACTTTTGTCTTGAAGGGCCTTCAACTAAAAACGATTGGTGTTTGAGAGGGAAACAATGATCAGTTGCCTCTCATATGTGCCCTGTGTGCCCTGACGAGGAATCAAACTGACAGCCTTTTGTTTTGTGAGATGATGCCCAGCCAACTGTGCCACACCAATCAGGGCTCTTCGTGTATTTTCAGTCAGACTTTACATAAAAGTCATCTCTCAGCTTTAAAATGATGATCTGTGTGTGGTTCCTTATGACCTATAGTGGGAATTCACTCTTTTCGGACCCAGCACTGTAGCTTTGAAGAAAGAGCCTCAGTCTCCTGATATAAGGAATGATTATACTGTAGTTGACTTGGATGAAAACAGTAGTTCACAGACCTCTCGCTAGTTCACTGAGAGGACAACAACTCTTTTAAACGAGACTTCTAGGCTACCATGGCCAACAGGACAGTTTTGATCCCCATCTGAGCTTCACAATGGGAGAGTCATTGTGAAATTGTGGCACTCCACCCTTGGAAGTGAGGTAGTCCGTGGATTTGTTTCTGAATGGGCAGTGTGACTCTGAGCTGCTTATTGAGAAGAGCAAACTAAGTTACACATGGTGTGAAGTGGACGTGTATGTGGACATGTACATATTTATATCTTTATGTTATGAGTATATCACTCCTGAGGAGAATGTATCTGACATGCAGTAAGTACTAAAAACATGTTAAGTCTTCATTACTCAAGCACGTTTGTGGACATTAAAATGCCTCAAAGAAATGTTTTAAGGCCTAATGTCATTTCCTAGCATTTGAAGAATAAATATTTCACTTTCCTTTTTCCTTATTAGTTTTCCTGTTAAACTGTATCTTGGCACCTCCATTAATCTTTACGAGACTAGTTTCCTATTAACTGAGGAATGGTGATGCACTCAGGGTCCAGTTTCTTGGAAACACAGTTTACTTACACTTCTCCTTTGCTTTGTTTTAATGAAGCTTTTCTCTAGCTTCCTTATTCCAAGTGCAAAATTAATTGATGTCAGTGGAGAAAAATTATATAGCAAAATATGTTTCTGAGCCTTTTCCCCCTAAATTTTCCAACAACCCTATTTTTGTCTCAGTGTCTTATTTAGCCACTCAGCTGTGTGTCTTCTCTCAGTTGGAGACTGGAATGGGAGTGAAGAAAGGAACTCGCAGATGGCATGTTCTTCAAGGAATCTTCTCTCTGCTGGCATTCGGGTGGTCCTTTGAGGTCAAAGTTTCTCTCTGTTTAGGGTTAGGATTCCTGGTGTTCTAAGTTGCTGATAAAGAAAGATTCATACACTTTGGAAACCAAAACAGCAGGCAGTGGGAATGACCCATACCATGGAAAGGGAGGCCTCTTCCCCACAGCCCCTCCTAGATGAGAAAGCTCCTCGTCTCCACAAAAAACACACAGATCACCTGCAAGCAATGCCAGAATTTTCCTCAGGAAGCTATGCTGGATCTTTTCCAAACACAAACAATTGTTCAACTAAATCCCCAAAGTTCCATGCCATAAAGAAGGGCAGAAATCATTCGGCCTGGACATTTCTCAGGGCAAGTGTTATCAGTTTCAGCCTGTGGCTTTATAGAAACCTAGTGTTTCCATGGATCACTGGTTTTGAGCTCAATGTTGCCTCAGGGAACCCATAAATATGAGTGACATACAAAAGGCCTTCCTAGTTGCTTGAATGGGTTGACTTGTTCGATGACTTGTTATGTGGTATACCAGTTGCATTCATATGAAACAGTGATTTTAATTTAAATTAGTTAATATTGAACCATGTTTTTCTGGTAGTATTTTGATACTAGGTCTATTATATATAAAAGGTACTTTTAAAATATTAATTTATATCACCAACAACACCAGAAAAGCAGAAACTGTTCATTTCATATCTTTGCAATTACATACCCAGCAAAGTATTCCCTGATAGGGGAGGGGAGCAGTTCCTCTGGATGTCAGTGACAGTGGGTGTCTGCCACATGCCAGGCAGGATGGCCACCACCTAGATGACACAGCACTGAATTCACACGCAATACCTGTGAGAGAAATCCTGGGTTTCCCAGTTTTACAAAATAATAATGCCAACAGCCATACAGTGAGTAAATGGAGAAACTAAGCTTCAAATTCAGATCTTTAACTGAGTCTAGTTTTTTAATTTTTTTTTTAGATATTAGGACCCAAGAGAAACACTAGAGAGCACTGCTAGACTTAACTGTGGAATTAGACATGTGTGTCTCATCTCTCAGCTCTGTGATCTCACACTAAAATGTGGAGGGCTGTCCAGCTCAACCTCCCACTTTGAAATCCATGGCATAAACCAATTTTTAAGTAAAAAATATTCCCTAAGATTGGCTCTAAATCCTGAACTTTCCTCCCTTCCAGAATATCTTTCCTCCCTCCCCCAACCATTATCCCTGCTAATCTCGGGGTTTTTACTTGGCCTTGCAGCTGCCTCAGCAGGAAAAGGAGGAGGAATGTGAGAGGAAGGGGCGGTGGGGGAGCAGAACAGGAGGAGGTCAAGAGGTCTTTACTGAGATCCATCCTGACTAGTCAAGGAGAGCTTCAGGAGAGCATCAACCTTGACAGTACCAACGGCTCAAAGAGCCGAGAAACTGGGCCCGGTAACGGGAAGTCAGAGACCCAAGGCTATGCAGTCCAGTGCCTCTTTTCCAGATAAAAGAACTGAGTAGTGGAGAGAGGATCGACTTGTCCAGGCTCACCCAGCCAGTCAATAGTGGGGGGAGGGGTGTTATTATTGTGCAGTGTAGAGACGTATAGATTTTAAGGCACTTTTGCAGGGCCTATTTTATTGTCTTACAACAATCATGAAATATGCCTGTCAAATGCCACATAGGTACATGGTGAGCAGTTCCTATTTTTCTGTACCACAGCAGAAGGAACTTGGAGATTATGTAAGACAAAAACTAAGTGGCTTCTAAAACTGATTTTGGCTCTAGAATTAGTTTTCCATATGAGGAAACTAGTTCAGAAAGAAAATGACTTGCCCAAAATATTATGGCTTAACTAGTGACTGAGCTATGTCTAGAACCCAGGAAATTTTGTATGCCTTGTAATCAGAAAAATAGATCACACAGGCCATTTATACAGATGACCTATACTGGTATTAGGATTATATTTTGGATGACATTGACATTTTATCCTGAGAATTTTTAGTTAAGTTACTACTGTTAATGTCAGAAACATCCAAACCTACAGAGAATTTATATGAATTTATCTGAGCCAAATTGACAAATTCCAGGAAGCAAAACCTTAATGGATTGAGAAAATGCTCCAGAGAATGACAGTTTCACAGCATATTTTATACATTAGAATCAAAAGAAGAGATATAAGAGGGATTCCATGAAATCCATTGGTGGTAGATTAAGGGGTGGGAGAAAGCAAAGCTGGGAAGTCTCTGGGATTGGATAAAAAGTAAAACAGAGAGACACGTACCTCTTTCACATAGGTGGGTACAAGAAGGTTAATAGTTAACATTTACAGCACATAGAGATGGTATGTGGGGAATAAGATAACCATGGGTGAGGTATTCTGTGGTCTCGGTTCTAGTGCAGAGGTTGTGCCCCAAGGCGTCTGGAAAAGGAAACTACTCTGACATTTCAAAGGTATGCTGTTAATTGCGAAAGGACAATAGACTGGCTCACTTAAGGTTAAGATTGATGTTTGTCAAGGAAGATACCAGCCAAGGACGTGACTACCTGCCATGACCCACTTTTCATTAGGAATTTTGACATCCAGACCATCCTGCGTGGTCACTTTCAGGCTCTGAGTTTGCAAGGCTGCCGCGCAGGCCTCCCCTAAGCTTGTCAGGGTTAGCATGCGGCCCATTTTTCGTCCACATTGTGTATGGTCTTAATGTAGTTGCATTTTGAACCATGTATAAATCTGTTAATGTTCTAAATTAATGGTCTTTTGGACATTATTTAGACCATTTGGCATAAAAGGATACATAATATTCATGAGTAAGATTTGGACTTGAAAAAAATTAGTGAATCGAGAGAAACTTGTTTTAGCTGTACCTTTCTGCATGTGAAAATAAGTTAAAGGTAAAATGTTACCTTTTTGGAAAGATATAACTTTAAAAAAACATGAGAGGGCAATTTGTGAATAATACGTTTCTAAAATTTATTTTCCAGGATCTAGTTTGGGTTCAAAATTAAAAAGTCCTGAACTGAGTTTAAAAGGCACCCAGCACGTCACGCAAGCAGGCAAGACCCTATATATCAAATGCAGGTAAGTGACTGTCGGCTTTGGGATTACCTGGCTGCCCTTCCTAAGGCAGAGTAGAACGGTCACCTCTTAGAGTAGAAAGGTAGGGACTTCAGTGGTCTCTAGTGATTCACAAAGTGCAAATCACAAGGGTCCTGCTTCACACGAAAGTAATTCACCTCCTGAAAAGACTCACTCAAGGGGAAACAAGGGAAGGGGAGCCCTGATCATTTTTGCACCTTTATTCTGAGTTGTTTAAAAGCTGTTCTAAATTTAGCATCACTTTTCTGTAAAGAAGATGACTGCGCTTAAGACAGAACCTCAGAATAGTGCTTCCCAATGAGATGAGTGCCTGGGACCTGGCCCCAGCCCTAATTGTGTTTTCTTTTCTTTTCTGTGATTGCAGAGGGAAAGCAGACCACTCATGGTCTTTGCCTGAAACAGTGAGTAAGGATAGGAAAAGGCTGAGCATAACAAAATCTGCCTGTGGAAGGAACAACAAACTGTTCTGCAGCACTTTGACCTTGACCACGGCCCAGGCAAACCACACTGGCTTCTATAGCTGCAAATATCTATCTATTCCTGCTTCAAAGAACAAGCAAACAGAATCTAAAATCTATATATTTATTAATGGTAAGTCTTCCATTTTGTACATTGTTTTTTAATAGCTTCTCAGAGGGTCATAAACCTACCCTGACCCCTTGGAAAGGGGGCTACCTCAGAGAGTGAGAAAGAAAGGGGCCAGGGAAGAGGTCCTAGCCTAGTTGTAGGAATTTTGGGGATACATTTTTAATGCATTTATTGAGTGTCCATTTCAACTAGAATTTTCATGGACCAGTCGGTCAATTCTATGCTCCCTGAAGGAAGAGATTCTTGTCTATTTTGTTCACAAAATAGAACTGTGTCTAGCACATAGAATAAATGAATGACAAGAATTCAGTTCCATCTCTTAAATACTGAGAAGCTCAAAACAGAATACAAGATTTTTTTGTCCTTTAACACAACTATATTCTTTTATACATTAGAGTTGTAAAAATATTGCTCTTTCTACTGAATTCATAAATGTAATGTTGCTAATTGTCTCTTGAATGCCACAAAATTAGTTCCTGTTCATGATGTTGTATGATTTCACATTCCCTAAGTAAGTACTATAATGATATAAGAGCTGGCTTATGCCATTCTATAGGAAAAAGGGCAAAAGGTAAAATGTATAATTTTTCAGTTATAATTTTTATGGTGTTATTTTTTTTAGAGAATGAAGAAATACATTAATATTCAGAGGGAAGAAGTGCAAACTTCTTAAATACAAATTGATTATAGAAATGGATCCCTGAGGAAGAATAAGGAAGCAGGCTTGTTATTTTGTTCTTCCTTGGAAGGGGTTTTTTTTAAAAAAAGAGGTTCTGGAGAACATAAAGCAAAATTAGTAGGTAACTTAGGCACAAAAGCAAATTAAGAAACAAAACGATCAACCATATGTCACAGTAGCCTAAATACATATCATGTATACATCCAGGCAAGTTAAAGAACTGGATCCTTGCATTGGAGACAGTACCATAGACTTATGTTTTGGTGGAAATCTTTTTGACTTTTTGAAATAAGGCAACTAAATAATGTTTTAACAGAGCATCTTATGTAGATAGCAGACTCAGGATTAGCCTGAGGAGACAGTTGAACAGTTGTATATTAGCAGTAATATCTTTTCAGCTCTTGTCAGCCTGATTTAGACCAAGCCAGTTTTCTGTCCCTGCTCATCCAAAGTCTTGTTTTCACATTTTGTACTTTTCTAGGCGGGTTGGTAACTGGAGGAGATACCAACTTCCTAGCAGTTTGCCGGGTAGGGATACAATCCTCCTGCTTAAAAACAAGAGGAAGTAGGCCAGGGGTCTTTGCTGAGGGAAGTGAGCCTGCTTCCATAGGAGTCCAGGGCAGGTGGCAGGCAGGGCGGGGAAGGTTCATAACGAAGGTAAGACTTTCGGAGATTTACTTTTGCAGCTCCAGGAGAAAGCAGACAAAGTGGTAGGAAAAGGTATATACACAGACATCTGTTCCCTTTCTATAGTTCTGCACAGTCGTTATGCTCTTTCTGGCACTTGTGGAGGAGAAAACACTTTATCCCTGTCTTTCTAGGGGAGTGGTGTAAAATTCATTCATGTGAAAATTCTCATAAAATTATCTCCTATGGGTTTATCAGAATCTGACTTGCAAATCAAGTACTTAAATAAGTAAAAGAAGACCATCTCTTTTTCTCTCTCTTGCTCTGAAAAACAATGTTCAGCTCTTTTCATCTTTAACTCCTATAGTGTTCAGCAGACTGCACGGGTTTCTGGAGCCTGTAGGTAGGGAGTGCAGCACCCATCTTCTTCCCCTTTGATAATAGAGGAAGAAACTTAGTTACTTAGGATTATTTCCATTTCAGCTACAGAACAAAGCAGATCTTGCAAGAAGCCATTACTCTGGGTGTCAAATCAATTGTTAACCTAAGCCCCATGGGGGCAAGATCCATGTCTGTTTAAATGACTTTAATCTGCAATGTGCCTCCCTGGTACAGTGCCTGGCACTTAGCAAGAATTCAGTAATAGTTGTTAAACAAATATAGGAAGGGCTTAACAGGGCTGTGTAGAATACTCTGTTGGAATTGACATGGAGGATAAACTCCAGCCTAAGTAGAAAGTGCCATAGCTAATTATTGTTGTCTGTTATGTGATTAGGAGGAAGAGTAGTGGCCATTTTGTTGTGTATTTATTATGTCTGCTTGCTTGTAGTAGTCCACAAACATTAGCATAAAGTTATAAGTCCCAGTATCTCAAAACTCCTGCGTAATCTGATTAGGCATTAGGAATTTGGAATTAGGAATTAGGTATTTGGAGAAGAAAGGATTGTAAAATGCGTTAATTCTGTATCATAGGACATCACTATGGAACATACATAACTGCTCTATTATATGAGTTCATTAGAAAAAAATATGAGACTGATTACTTTCAATAGCACTAATACTAAAAGATTTTGAATTAATAATAGTAGCCATAGAAGAGCACCCAAATCTTCTTTGTTAATTAGCTTCATCAGCAAACATTTAGGGAACACTTGCTATGTGCCCGTCACTGTACTAATGTGAATCCTACCATCGACTATACTGTCTTCTTCCTGGTCTCAGAATTGTACTTTACTGAAGTCTGTGCAGCTGTGAAACAATTCATTAAGCAGTGGTAACTTTTCCAGATACCTTAACATTGTATGCATTTCATATTTTCATTATTTTATTGATTTTCCTCCTGAGAAAATTTGGTCTTAGGCTTCTCTTTCTAGTGAATCCTTACTACATCACAGGTTTCATTTCATTTAGGAGCATTTAACTCATCTCTGGTCACTCGGGATTGTCTCTGGGATTAATAAAACTCCAACCAATTCCTAATACACAGCAGTTAGGAACTCGTTGTCACTTATTTATTATTGTTAAGTCCTTACTTAGAACACATTATTCTGTTTGGAAGATTTCTGCCCCTGATAAGCACCTGCAGATGTGCTGGCATTTCATTTTGCTTCTCTCTAAAGAGAAACACTAGTAGGTACACCTTTTGAAAAGGCACAGATTTGTGGTCTAATGTGGTTCCAAGAAAAAAGAAATCAGGGCTGCATAGCTTTGTCTACAAAGAGCCAGATTCAGTGTGTGGATGATAAACACACCACTGCTTCGACATTAGTGATCGCCTGCTGTGTAACAGGCATGGTTCCCATTTGAGCACTAATTTGGACAGATCTCTGCTATGCAGTGTACAGAAAAGTTGGCGTCACCACTTTATCACTTCAGCTTGTATGAACCTGCAAAACTTTTGACATAATTCATTAACTTCATTTAGTTATTCAAGTAATTATATTTGACTACTTAATTCCTGAATTGTCTGATAAAAATTTAATAACTTCTTACATTTGTAGTTTCCTTTCATTTAAAAAAAATGGTTTTATTTACATTATGCTAGTTAAATCTCACAGTAATCCATGAAGTTGTCTTCTCTTCATTTTACACATGAAGAACCTAAGGCCACTTCACAACCAGGCTATGTGGGGAGTAACGGGAAAGCCTCAGCAGCAGAGTGAGTGAGTGGTCAGGTTCTTCTCTTCCGAGTCTCAGTGGTGAGAGGAGATCGAAGGGGCCAAGACTGAGGCAGGCAGATTAGGTAGGGCCTCCTGCCAGAGAGGCAGAAGAGCTGGTGGGCCAAGGTCACCACAGCAGCTGTGATGAAGGAGAGGTGATGAATTGGAGGGATTCCATCCACCTTGGTGAGTGGGTGGGAAGGGTGGGTGAGAAGAAGGAGGAATCAAAATGACACTGGGAATTCTTGCGGGGGAGAGGGGAGCAACTGGGCAACTTGCTGCAGGTCCCCTAGCCAAGCAGACCTTTGTTTCACTAAATTACATAACGCAAAGGCAACCATCTTCCTCTGCTGATACTCCCTTGGCATCATCTCCACAAATGGCTCTTGCATGAGAGTAGCTGAAAAATGAATAGACTCCCTCAGGAACTATAGCTACAAAATTCTGAGTCATAAAGAAAAATAAGTTGTAAAGTGCTCCTTAATGCTTTCCTAATTACAAAACTAAAATATTGCTAGATAAATTGTAATGTTAGGGCTGTTCAGGTGGTATTCATCTCCTTTGTTGAGAAAAAGGACCACTTTTGCATTTCTTTTCTGCCCCTTTGGTATACAAAAGAAATCAGGTCCGCTTTTTCTAGAAGTTAGAAGAGTTCATTGAAATCATTATTGTACCATATGAGTTGTGACTGTAAAGTAAGACAACTGACCTGAAAAGTTTTTAGTGGCATTTCTGAAGTTTTAAATACTTTGTCAATGTCTCCAATTCAGTTAGAAAGACCTTGAATGTGGTGTGTTGAGTCCCCTACACCATGAAGTCAGCCGATGCCTCTCTAAGCCCAAGTCTTTCACGGCTATTTAAATGTAATGTCTTCTCTTGAAAATTATAATTGAAAAGGGAAAAAATGGCGTGTGAGTGCTGTGGTTGAGTGGATATATTCTACTTCTTCCCTGTTAATGAAACTCATCTTTTTTCTTCTGCTTCTCTTCACTTGATTGTTTTTCTCTCTGTGTCTATTTAAGCAAATAGGTTGGAGCATTATCATAACAGATTTTCCTCCATTGGTTCTCCCACATGCATAAAACTGATGAGATTTGCATAACAGCTTAATTTCGGGTGGAAAATGATCAGACACACTGGGTATGTAATTGAAAAGAGGTAGAAGTTCTAGCCACCCAGATATTCTGGGAGAGGATAACCATTATGCTTTCACATAAATATACTTAGTAGGAAAATGTTCTACCTGGCCATGGGACTTTGAATTAGTAAAAATAATAACAGCACAGATATTCTGAGAAGATTTCAATGTACTTGTTTGTATAGCACTTCAGATTTTTCCAAGAGCTTTCCTATAATTATCTCTGAGATAAACTAAGTTGGTATGATTTCGTATGTTTTATGTATAAGAAAACAGCCTCAGCAACCTGCACACGATAGAGAGAGCTAATAACAAGCTAGGAGGGGATCCAGGTCAGGTTCTGGGTTAGGGCTATTTCTAGAACACTGGGGTTTCAGCTATTGACTTCAAAGTATGAACT